CTACTCTCACTGAGTCCATTAACAATAGGGATATGTGATTTTTAAATTACTGAATTACTCATCCTTCCATTAAAAGAGTCGACCTACAAAGTAAAATAGATCAGCCTCTTTCTGCAGTCAGTCCCTTCCATTTCTCTGTCTAGATGTTTCCATTTATTCCAGGAGTCCTGTTCTTATCAACAGTGGCCTTATCTGTCCTCTGCTCTATCAGCATGCTTAAACAAAGCAAGGTGCAGGGCAGGCTCTCAATACATGTTGATGAATGAGGGAAGGAATGAACAGACAGTTCACACCACAGGGTTTCTTGCCTGGACAGTCAGAGTACCCACCTTGGGATTTATTTCTTATTCTCATGTGAGTTTTCTGACTTTGCACATCTCAAAACTTAACAGTGAGGCAATATGAAAAAAGTTTGATACCATTTGTTTGTCTGTCTTTGAGAGCCTAAGACCCGAATGAAGACAAACTTATTTCCCTGGTGGTTGGCTCCCCCACCCCTACTGGAGGGAATCTATAGACCAGAGAACATGGCATTTTCTTGATGAAATAATATATATTCCCCAAATCTATCAGTTCAAATCCGTGGCAGTGGTGGTGATAGTGGTGAGACTTGATCACAGAAATGTCAAAAACAAAAACAAATGAGCATGGTAAGAACCACTGACAGACCATGCTACAATGACTGAAATTGCCACAGGAGCGTGAGAAGATCTGGGGCTATATTATAATAACTGGATACGCTGTGGATATTCAACATCATTCATGCCTGACGATGCTAATGTGATAGATTCATATTTACTGTTTTAGCCTGTATTACTGCTGTGTTTGAATGTGAGGTGTCCCCCATAATCTCACTGTGAGACAGTGCAAGAATGCTCAGAGGTGAAATGATCAGATTATGAGAGTGTGACCCAACCAATGGATTAAACCACTGATGGATTAACTATGTGGTAACTGCAGGCAGGTAGGGTGTGGCTGGAGGAGACAGGTCACTGGGGGCATGCCTTTGAGTTTGTATATTTTGTCTCTGTTGAGCAGAGTGCTCTCTCCCCCTCTTCCTCTTTCCCTTCTTTTCGATTGCCATGTCCTGAGCTGCTTTCCTCTGCCATGATGCTCTGTCTCATCTCAGGCCCAAAGCAATGGAGTCAGCCATCTATGAACTGAGACCTCTGAAACCATGAACACCCAATAAACTCTCTCCCCTCTAAAATTGTTGTTCTCAGGTCTTTCAGTCACAGTGATTAAATAAAAAAAAATCTGACTAATAATGTGCCGAGATAGGGCTTCCCTGAACCCCTAAGATTACGTTGAACTCCCATGTTGAGTAGATACCTAGCATCCTGAATTTCTACTTCCTTACCACACTTTATCACAGTCTATTATAATTAGTATAACAATATTAAATTACCCAAGGACAACAATGTACATGTCTAGCTTACTAGAGTTGAGTTAATAAGCTGAGATTATTAGGGTTTGACTAAGTGGGATGGTCTAAAATCATTTCAAGGTCTCACATTTGTACTTGCCATAAGAAGCATCCCATAACATTGCACTGATAAAAATAGTATGAAATGAAATAGAATCCTTGCCTTTTGTCTCACCGACCTTTGCCTTCCCACATCAGCAAACTCTTTTTAAAATCTCCCTCTGGTTCCCATAGTCTATAAAATCTTAGAAGGTACCAGATGTTTGGAGGAGGCTGTCCCACACATCCTCGATTTTAAAGTGCATGCAAGATTTATTATAGCCATATAAATGTAATTCCAGCTTTGACTTTCATGTTCAAGAGCTGGGTGTAATCTGCAGCAGGACCTCTTGTCGAATAGAACAATTCTCATCTGTGCTGTGTTGGTCTCAATGCCAAACACTCAGAATAACCACAGGATATGACTGAACCAAGTTCTGCCCACAATCTCTTTCCCTCTAGGAAATTTTAATGTAATGTAAACACTTTTCAAGAAAAACCATTTTGCATGTAGGCAACATTCAGAAGCTGGGGTGGGAAAAGTCATGCATGACTATACAGAAACACCTGGTGTTAAGTGCCCAAGCAAAGGCCTCAAATTAGGTTTCTCTCCTACTGCTGGTTTCTGATAGTGAAAGCAGACTACAACTCCTCTCCCATGTCTTCCTGTCCTGACCAGCTCTGGGGTGCCCTGCAGCCCACCCATTCATTTTGACCCATCTGCAAGTGGAAGTTGGGCTGTGCTTTGTACTGGGGAATTCCACATGCTACTAGAAAGCAGGAGAAGCCATCTGCCAGAGGTGAACTGAGGCTTTTTAAGTACTTTAAAATGGGTCTTCTAGCATATTCTTCAAAGTTGCCTGCAATTTAAGGAAAACTTTTTTTTAAAAAAAAAGCTTTTATATAAAAAGTTCTTCCTTCTTCCAGCACTAGTTACTTAACAAGAATCTATGCAGGGCTCAATGTTGAACTTCCTGAAGGAACACTAGGAAATGCATCCTGAAGAGACTCCTGAAATTTTTTTTCCCCTAAGATTAAAAGAAGACATTTCCCCTTACATGTGAACTGTCTTTCTTTTGACATGATCCAGATACCAACTGAATTCTAAATAGCTATTAATCACTTTCAATCAATTCTTGGCAATGTAAAGATCATGATGATGTGCCTCCGACATAACTCTTGTTTTTATTGACAGTTGGTTGTCTGCCACTGTTAACGTTTTAGATGAGCACATAATAATTAAAGAAAAAATTCACAAAATGTATAAACTGGGATGTTCATGTAGCACACACAACTGACAGCAACAGGAGAGAAGCCTTTGATGAAGATGCCAGGACTCCGGGAATGATGGGCTGCAGGTGCTAACCAGAGAGAGGCTATTATACATAATTTTTGCTGGATTACCAATTTGCTCACTGATTTTTTGTGGCCGCACTGGTGAACACTGTAACGCTGCCATCTTGGAGGAATCTGTGTTGCAAATGGAGTTGGCACTTTTGACTTATTCATATAATAAATGTGTGAACTAACACTCTGCAACCAGATGAGTATTAGCAAGAACATGTTCTGCTCTATAATCTAGGTTGGCTGTTTATTCTCAATGCCATAGCAAAACCAGGAGAAAGAAAACTGGAAGAATTTTCTCAGAGACTTCTAGGACTAATAAAAAAAAAAAATAGATGAAGAACTGATTTGAAACACATTCTCGTAGGATCCAGTATCACTTCCACTTTCCATTAAGGTACAACCAACACGTGGTAGGTTCGCGTTTTCATTTTTATGTCAAATGTTTTTTCAGATATTCAATTTCACCTCCAGTTGGCATGTAGGTAACCCAGCTGATTAAAAGTATAAGGATTTGCTTTATGTTAAAATAGCCAATCAGCATTAAGAGGAAGAAGTCAATTAAGAAGTCACTCTTCTTACAATTTCAAAGGTGAATATTCTCATTCATTACCATGACCTTCTTTACATAACAAAATCTACTTAACTCACTTTCAGTAATAAATCTCAGGCTGACCAAGACACTGCTAGGATTTAGGGCAATCTCAATCGGAAAGCTTAAATGATCTATAAGACTCCAAAGGATGCTATGAGCTTTAATCTGGCTTAAAAATATGCAAATCTTTTTAGATTTCTTGATTAGATTCCTTTTTATTTCATTATTTGGGTACCCTGTCTTTTCTAAAGTTAATCTAAATCTTATATCAGAGGTCAAGTTTATTCTTATTTTCTATTTATAACTTCTTCAAACATTTTAGTGAAGGACAAGAATCTTAGCAAAGAAATGTGTTATTTTGAGTTAGAACTCTAACGATTCTTTTTTTTTTTTTTTAAAGCTCTTGTTTTTCAAATAAAGCAGTCTAAAATCATATATAGAGATTCTGTCCCGCCACGGAAGGGAGAGAGAACAGCAATTCACTATTCTCTCTGAAATGATTCAGAGATTTAGTTGGGTGACTTCCAACTTAATCTACTCACACTAATATCTATTTTCTTCAACTTTAAAGCCCTTTCCTCTGGCCTTCTTAAGCAAAATAACGAGCTATCCAGTGGGTTTCATTGCCAAGGCCGAATGCCTGTAGCCCCAGCAAGTCTGTGCAGAGTGAGCTTAGCTTTCTGTGGATCCTGACACATCTTAGATCTTTTTCTTGTCCTACCAAATCTCGGATGTCAGAAGATTCTGCTGGTGCCTTCTGGTTTAGAGGTTTGTATCAAGGATGAAGGCCCTTGGAGGCTGATGAATGCCACTGCTATTTTCACCTCTCTGCTCGTCACTCTGTAATTGCAGTAAATGCAATTGAAAGTACTTTTATTTGAAGGCCATTTGACAGAGGGGGAGAAAACACATTTACTCTTTCAAGGCCTGTGTATTTTCCTGGGAGAAGCCTGCCTATAAAATTTGTCCTTTTATCCTTGGATAGCTATTTGGGAAATATCTCTGGGCCATGCCACCTCCTGACTGATTTCTGCAACTGGAGAACAGAGCCATGATTCACAGCCCTTCCTCTGCACCTCCACCTCCTCTCCTCCTGCCTTCTCAAGACTGGAAGGTCTTTCAAGGCCCGTGTTCTTGAATCTTTCTTTTCCCCAGAAAGTTTGCATGTTTTAGCCAGAGTATTGAACTATCTTCACTGTAGAAGTTTAAGAAAGGAACTGTTTCCTAAGATCAGCGGCTAAGTTGAGGTAACAGAAATAAAAGAGAGTACTGTGAATTGGGGTTTTTTTTCAAGTTTTTTTCTAATGGGTCCCTTCTTGCAGGAGCTCGCTGACATTCAACAAGATGACTTTCATCGTCATGGGAGCGATTCACTACTTGAACACAGCTGACGCATGCATACCCAACAGGACTGTCCCATGCAAAACGCAGGAAAGTCTTACTTTTGCAGGATTAAAGAAAAATAAGACAATGTTTATAATTTGCTAAAAGCTGTCTTTAGTCTCAAGTCATCATCCTTTCTGACCTGCCCATCAGGCATCACAGACATTACTATTTTCACATCTCAGTTTCTGGGTCTGTTTAAATGTTTCTTACCTATAAACAGATTCCACTCCGTGTCCAGATCGGCCTGATTCGCCAGGCAGCCTTTCATGACATTGAGGCAGTAGTTGTTGCACGGTCTCACAGCCGGAAGGCCTCGACAGTATGGGCAGTACAGCATCTTCATGAGGGCACGGATGCACCCGGGGGTGGGGCTGACCTGCAGGTGTATCACAGAAAAAGAGAAAATCAGAAATGAGAAGGATGAGGGGAGGAAAAAGGAAGTCATTTTCTCCTTTTTAACAAAACCAGGCAAAATGTCTCTGATAAACCTCAAAGAGTTGAGCACAGTACTAAAGAGATGATAAGAACCGTTACCCTTTTGAATTCTTGCTCTTGAAGCCAGTCACTTCCCATTAAATACTTCTGCTCAACAAAGTAATATCATTTCTTTTTTTGGAAATGTCCCTGTCAACATTTTGATATCAATGCCGCTGCAATGCAGCCCTAAACCTTAGACTCTGCCCACTGCAATAGAATGTGGAATTATAAAATGCATGTGAAAGCAATTTGCCAAGTTAAAAGCCCTGTAAAAATGTAGGTATTATTAAAGTTTAATGTGACACCTTTAGAAAAGTTTCCAACTGGTTACTTGACCCTTTCTAAAGGAGGCTGGCAGATATACTTCCTTTGTACATAACTTTTTTGAAAGGATCAATATCAACCTGTCTGGGATTTCTAAGATCCGGGACTGCTTAGAAGCAATTGGAACTGTTAACATATCATCTTCAGGCATTTGCCACTGGGAATTTCTGGAAAATTTGTGGAAAATGGACACTGTATGGAATGTAAGCAGAAACCCTTACAGTAATTCTGAGGAGTTAGTAATCAACCAACAACGAACTGCTACTTACATGAGTCAGAAACACCACACTCCTAAATGAATTGATTCTAAACCAGTAAGGACTTTTTAAAATCCCATTAAAATTTCTAATTTGACTTCAAGGCCGATAAAAGTCAGTGTAGAACAACAAGAGCAAACAACACAGAAAGCTCTTTTTCATGACTTGATGTAAAATTATTTTCATATGTATTTGGTTGGTTTTACATTTTGCTGTACTTGTGTTCCAGATCTGAGAAAAAGCAGAACTAAACCTTCATCATTTGGACCTCTGTCAGAGTTGTGGTCTTGTCACATAGACTCTGGGTCCACAGACACCCACCTGACAAAATGGACATTCAGACGTAAAGCATAACACAATGTAATGTTGGAACAGTAAGAAATATCTTCACATAGATGGACACTTTATTAATTTCAGTAGCTCCTTCCCATCATGCTGTTCTTCATGTAGAAGTGAAACCTGGAGAGTTTATTGTAAGTCCTTGGCTCTGTTACATTCTCTCTCTCTTTTTATGGTGGGTGGATGGGTACCAGGGATTGAACTCAGGGGCAGTCAACCACTGAGCCACATCCCCAGGCGTATTTAGAATTTTATTTAAAGACAGGGTCTGAGTTGATCAATGCCTTGCTTTTGCTGAGGCTGGCTCTGAACTCGAGATCCTCTTCCCTCAGCCTCCTGAACCCCTAGGATTATAGGCATGTACCACTGTGCCCACTCTGTTAGAGTGTCTTAATTTTACACCGTGCATTGGCAACATCCCTGAGACATTATTTTAGGAAAGGAAGTGCTTTCTTTATTGATTGACTTAGACACCAAAATTTCCAGTCATTCTTTTGAGATTATTTTTTTGAGTTTTCTTTGAAATTTTTATGAAAATTTTCAAACACAGACAAGTTGAAAGACTTTTATAGTAAACGCCATATCCCCACTCTTAAATTGAACGATGTACCTTTCTTTCATTTACTTTTTCCACAATCTATCCAAACCTTCTATTCATCCATTAATACATCTTATTTTTTTAAATATTTATTTTTTAGTTGTAGTTGGACACAATATCTTTATATATTTATTTTTTTGTGGTGCTGAAGATCGAACCCAGGGACTCACATGTGCTAGGAAAGTGCTCTACCACTGAACTACAACCCCAGCCCAATGCATCTTGTTTTTAATGTCAAGGTCATTTCTTTTATTATGCATTCCAGAGTAAATCCTCTTGGTTTTTACATTAGATGCTAATTTATTATTGACTTGAATTAAAGAGAATCAACATGATCAACACAAGCAAGTCAATGCATTAAGTACCTAAAGTGAAAGAAGTAAATAAAATTGCATTCTTTATAAAGGTATTTGTAGAATGGCCTCATATTCATTAATTCTAAAACTTAATATTTCAACAACATAAAAACACCAAAAATGGAACAGAAGTGAGAAATCTGGTGACTTTCTTTTGAGGACACATTAGTGCCATAATTTCACCTTCTTTGGATTGGCTATTTTATTGAGAATGCCAACTTTTATGCACAATTGAGCAGAATTGTTTAAAAATTTTCTCTGAGCCACATGCATCCCAAGCAATCAACAAAACTTCAGAAGAAAAATTCTGTATTGCTGTATACTATATTAGTGTGGACTTTCAAATTCTTACCCGTTTTTCTAATTTGGCATAGTTACAAGCTTTCCTTGTAAGATTTTATTTTACAGAGTTTTGTTTTTCATAGCTCTGCAATTTCCCGCCTGCTCCATATGCTTGTCTCTGAAGACACACCTGCTTTCCCTCCAGTTGACTAAGCCATCTCCTCCTTTGACTGCTGGGTTTCTAATTTTCTTGCCATTTGTATTGTATGTCACCTTGCTTCTCCTTACTCAGTGTCCCAGTATAAACCTGGAACACTTGTCAATATTAGGGGTGCAAATTGGAGATCTCTGGGGCAGCCTCACCTGTCCTGTTCATCATTATAACCTTTACCACGAGAGCACAACACGCACATTGTATAAGGTATTATGCTTAGGAGCTAGCAACTCATTAAGTGCTTTGTGATTGACCTATTATGTTTCCCAATCTCTTGGCCATACTAACATTCAAAGACACACACACACACACACACACACACACACACAAGATGGCTTTATACATCTTAGTATTCAAGTGCAGCTTTTTAACTTTGCCATCAAAGGCTATTGGTTGGATTAATTCCAAAGCTTTGTTATTTTTTAAAAATTATATTGGAACCAGTACAATTTTCTCAGTCTGACATTTCAGAAGAGTCTCCAACTCAGAGTAGCAACCAACAGAGAAAATTGAGCAGCCTTAATAACCTAAGAGAAAAATGTTGTTGAAGTTAAGTGTGGGTCCCTGAGCACTTTTGGAAATGACATCCTTCTTGGTCAAATAAAGGGCATTTGAAGAAGAAAAGAGAGTGAGGGGATCAGAGTTGAAGCTTTTATGTTCACACAAGACATTTTTTGAGCTTACACAACTGCATGCCTGAATTAAAATGTAAAAATTATCACTTCACAATGAAGACTTTTAGAAGCCAGCTTCTGAGGAGAAGGCTGTTCCAAAGGCCAATTATGTGAAGGGTAACTTCTATTTTTAATAGTGTTTTATCATTGTATTACAACTACTATTCAAAAAATTGTTTTATTTTTTATTTTTAAAAATATTTAAAAATATTTTAAAAAATATTTTTAAATATTTTGATGGACCTTTATTTTATTCATTTATTTATATGTGGTGCTGAGAATTGAACCCAGTGCTTTATTTTCAAATTAATATAGACTCACATGAAGCTGAAGAAATAGTAAAGAAATAGTAAAGTCATGGGTACCCTTCCTTCGAAGGCAAGATCCTACCCAGCTGTACTATGATATCAAGTTGAAGGGATGGACATTATTACATTGCTGCTAACCGATCCATAGATCTCCACAGTTTTCAATTTTTTAAAACAGTGTACCTCTGTGTGTGCACACACAGTTCTATGCAGTTTTATCCCATGTACAGATTTGTGTCACTACCACAACATATATAACCATTCTGTGAGTACTGTGATACCTCTACCTCACGATCTGTCCCTGTCACCTGGCAGCCACCAATCTATTTCTCATCTGTATGATTTTGTCATTTCAAGAATGCTATATAAATGGGATAATCTGGTATGTAACCTTTTGACTTTGGCTTTCTTTTTCTCACTAAGCATAATACCCTGATGGTCCGCACAAGTTCTTTCATGCATTAATAGTACATCCTTTTTTATTGCCAAGTAGTATCCCATTGTTGGCTATCCAGAGTTTTTAAACTATTCACCCACTGAAAAATAACTGGGTTGTTTCTAGTACTTTGTTAGTGGGCATAAAATTGCTATGAACATTCATGTACAGGTTTTTGCATGAGCCTAAGTCTATCTTTTTAGAACTAAGTACTAAGAGTATAAATGATAGTTCATAACATCAGTACAATGTATAGTTTTATAAGAAACTGTCAAGTATTTTCTAGAGTGTTTGTATCAGTTTACATTTCCAACAGCGATCCGTGAGAGATCCAGTTTTTTTCTACATCCTTGTCAGTATTTGAGTGATCACTGGTTTTGTTTTTTTAATTTTAACCATTCCTATATGTATATCATCTATTTGAATCTTATTGTGATTTTTTCCTCTGGATAATGCCTACCAGCATTCTAACCTGAATGGGTTCCAATTAATATCAGATCACCAATCATTCACTAGCAAGTCTCTGGACATATGCAAAAATTTCAAAGTTTGAAATATAAATAAATCTGTACATTTAGCAAAACCAACAGAATAGAAAACTCACAAATTTTAAAAGCTAATAACATCTCAGTCACACATTTGTAAATTTTATGAATCATCAGGAAAAAAATTCTTACTATAAAAATTTGTTCTTTTAGCAACAACAAAGAATACAATCTCTTTTGAAGAATGAAGTGTTGAAATGATCCTTTTAGCTTGGTGTTGCAAATTTTTGTTCTGTTTGAAAAGCACAGTTGTGGCTTCCCAGATATTCGAGGTAGACTGGGAAATACACTTGCATAAAATCATACATGTATGATGATTTATTTTGTACTTATTTGAGCTCTCACCTGACATTCACGACCCTTTACCAAGAATGTGCAATATTAGAAGAAAAAAAGTGGTCAGTGGCCACTCTGCTCTCATACCACTCTTGGAAAAAGGAAAAAAGTTTTTGAGTCAACTGAGTAAGATTTCTGACATTTTGGGTTTAGTCTTATTTTAACTTCTGCTGCTATTTGTGTATAATCAATCACTTATAAATGGTCATTTAATACTTAATATTATAATT